TTCATAGTGATTTAACACGTTATACTCTATAAAAGTTTATTACAGAATGTTCAAGCTAAAACAATATAGTTTCAAAGTATACCAAATCGACCACCACTTGCAAGCTACTACCAGCATAAGTCAAAGAAGAAAAATCTTACAACAAAAATCCAAAGATCTAGTTTCTTCGGCATCTACAAACAATACAGACATCATATGTTCATCTGGAGACTCAGGTCCAGCCCAAGGTCAAGACTGCAAAAATAAGGTCTTCAAACATCCATATGAGCTCGGCAAAGCATCATTGCAATATTTCATCACAGGTAATCAAGCGATGCGTCATGCAGCGAAGCCACGGCTATAAATCTGGGCTGTTTATAGAGCTTTGTACAAAGCGGCCTAAATTGAAAGCAACTTAATTTTATTTTTTTCCCCATAACAGACGCTATTATAAAAAGGCACAAATATCTTACTCCTTGCATCAGGTCTTGAAAAGGCATGACATTCTTAGGAGAAATAAGAATTGCTGGTAACGAAGGCTTAGCTTTTTTTCATTTTTAATTTTTTAACGCCTAGGTTCACCTGCACACGCCACAGCTGTTTCGAGACTGCGGACTCAGATTTTTACGTACTTTAAAAGCTCTATTCCAAACGAAGTGAAGTTCGGACACTTGAACCATCTCATTGCCAATGGTAAAAATCATTTTGTCACTCAGTCATGTTGCCACTGTGAGCTAGTGCCACCCATTCCCTCCCTGGAAATACTGTGGTCCTTCACCTCAAATCAGCCTGTGTGTTTTCTGACTGCGCTGGGCGGGTCTCTCGTCTGCCTTGCTGGACGGGGGCCAGCCCTCCTGCTGCCACCACACGAAGCAGCACGAGGAATGTCACACGCACCAAGGAGGTGGCTGGTGCCCTGCGTCTTTGAAGGGGAACCCGCTGCAAAATGAGAATAGGAGGAATAAGGCAAGAAGTCTGCTTCGATCACAGAGAAGATGAGAAGACATCACTCCTTAGGAGGGTCAGAGGCACGGCTGACAATTCTATGAGGGACTCATACGAGTGAAATGATAGAAAGCCTGAGCTGGATGAGAGTGGAAAAAAAAAAACCCATCTTTTCCAGGACAATACGGCTCTGTACACACAACAGAACGAATGGTTTACGAACACAGCCACCCATCAGCTGCTCTGACCAGCCAAGTCATTTTTCCCGCATTGACTCGACCGGCCACTGACATCATATTCGTGATCTGTATTAAGGAGAAGTTTCATGAATTGTGTGACAAACTCACTGGCAAAGTAAAAAGAGAGACACAAATTCGAGCCCTGCCTGCTGAATTTTCAGGGGGGAAAACTGATCATTCAAGGACAACTATAATGAAAAAATTACTAAAGGACAAATGAGATCAGGGTTAAGTCCCCAAGCGAAGTCCTACACTGCTGTGTGCTGACAGTGTTTGCGAGTGGGAGCGCGCACGCCGCCTGTCCCCAGTGACTTGCCCCATGTCCCCGGGTGGTCAGTAGGCTCTGGACCCGCCTTGGGGAAGAGGGTGTGCTGGGCTCTCCTACAACATGACACGGCCTTGTGGGAGCTTCCTGGACGATTTCCGTTCTGAGTGAAGATTATTGGCCCTATGTGAGAAACGCTACTTTAAAGATGATTTTCTCCAAAGTAGCACCAACGTTAAACAATTTGCTTCTGGAAACACTGACAAGTTCCTGAATCAAGAAGTGGCACTGACGTCAGCATGTCTTGTTTCTGTTGCATGATGAGGAAGCACATTGAGGTCTACAGTTAAAAACGGCCCATTACAAAAGGCTCTTTCTAAAAATCATTACTAGCTTAGGATTTCCAATTGGCACTTGAATTCCTATTCATGGAAAGCTACCCAGAATTGTTTGTTTCAACTGAGAAGCATTTTGATTAGGCACTGGGCACTATATAGATCTGAAAATGAACTGGTATAAATTTTTAAAAAATTTTGTTCAATTAATTTAAGACTCCATGGTTTTAATTCCGGCATCTCCTGATGACACATCCTAACCTTACCATGTAAAATGTTCAATGTAATAAAAGGAAAAGATGGAAGGTTTAAGATATTCCTTTTTATTAAACGTTTGAATCTTTTGGTCGTGACATCCAGAATATTCTAGCATATCTATACTTGATTATACTCTAAAAGGAAAGAACACAGATATGTTATTTCTGATGGAACAGACCTTCAAAGTTCGTCTATGTTACATGTTACTGGCAGTCCTTCTAGATTTGGGAAGGAAATCATTTTCCTATGTGCTAAGAGAATCCTGAAGGACAAACAGAAATATGGACATTCTTGGTGTTACTTATTCGCTTTCTTTGCTACGTCTAATGAAACGCCATCATGACGGGCTTCTCACTCATCATTCTCTTGGATCACAAAGTGGAGGCTCCTGGAAAACGTAATACCCTTCTACCATTTTTCAGGCTTTCATTTGCACATAAAACAGGACAAATGCCCCAGAATTCCATTAAAGTTTCTTGCAAATCAGATAATCAAATTGCCTGGATTTCTATTACTGGAAGTCAAGGAACTCTGCTGTCAAGAGGAATTGGCTGAGGTTGCTTCTTTCGGGGCTAAGTCCCGCCCCCGTCTCCCTTTGCTGTTTATTTCCTGGACACATTTGTTGCTTGAACTATTTTTTTATCTCCTCAACATTATGCCTTGGAGCATTTAAAAATCTTTGCTAGACTAAGCTAATTGAAGGCAGTACATAGTAACCACCTGAGCCTTGAAGGTACAGGCCAATTCCTTCCTCTGAAAAATACTTACTGTTCAGAGGCAGACTATCTCCTGAAGTGGACAGCGAACTGAAGTCACGCTGCTAGTTCCTCTAAAACAAATTTAAATAAGGGTTCTTTTTACAGGTTCACACTATCCAGCGTATCACTGTTACAGGGTCAGGAGGGACACTTACAGCCTAGCGAGTTTAGAGGGCCAGCCTGAGTTTGTGGGCTGTCCTTTCCCCTCAAATGTTCTAGAGCAGGTACCTCGTACAGATCAGAGTTCAGGGACTTGCGATAACTTCCCCAGAAGGAACAGATTCTCTCACTGCTTACCCAGGTTCCTGCAAAGGCATGTGAACGTGTAGGGGGCTCTGTGAGACACATCACACACTGTGCGCCTCCATCTTATATGCTCAGGGCATTCCGAAACAAATGGAAAATGCTTACACAATTAACATAACCTCTTTGCAACTCGCTCTCAGAATATAAAAAATGTATGTGATGGTGAATAGATGCCTTTTCAAGCTCTGTTGCTGACACACCAATTAGTGCAGTGTAATCTGAATCAAACCTGCCCGTTTTAACACAATGCCATGAAAGTACAGATATTCTGGTTGGACATCTCCAGGGAAGCCACGGAATAGCTAGCTCAAGGATGCTCTCATTAGTGTATCTCCCACGGTTTAATTTAGAAAGTCTTTAGAAGAGAAAAAGAGAAGTTCTGAAATTAAATGTGATCTTCTTTAAATATATAAAAATGTATTTTAAAATAACGAAGATTGATGACTTCAAGAAGGACACCAGCCCACTTTGAGGAGACCAAGCCTCTGAGAGAGGGCTTGATCCTTTCCGACATGGGGTGGCAAGCACGTCAAACAGAATCATAAATGGACAACAAAGAAGTGTGTTATTTTAAAGGAACTAAAATCTTTCAGTTGCTTCGTGTAGATCTTATCCCGTGGCTGAAGCGTAGGTGTCGGAGGGCTCGTTTGGAACCTGAAGGGCCTGTGATAGGTATTTCTCCACAATCACTTCTTAAAGAGAAATTAAAATGAAGGGCACTTAATCATACTCTTCCTTTGTTCTTTTAATCACCAGATGACAGTTATCAGAGAATCGGAAAAATACTTGAGAGTTCTGGAGGCCACGGGTTATAGGATTGGACACCTGCAAAGAGCTTACTCCAATTTCTCTGCGAGAAATCAATATATACTCGCAGTTAATTAATGATTTTTCTCTTTTTGGTCCCAAAAGTTTAAAAAAATGGCCCTGTGTCATAAGGGAACCAAAAGGAGATTTTTATAGATGGGTTATATCTCAATTCCTTTGAAATCGAGCTTTTTCTCCTAAGAAATAAGACTAAAGAATATATGAAATGAGTATTAGGTCACTGCTTAGTCAGGTTAATATCCAAAGTGTATTCAAAATAAAACACCGCTTCTGACTTTAATATTCATCTTTGCATTTTATAAGGAAACAAAAGAAATGAAAACATCTTCCCCGTTTCACTGAGTACGGATTATAGATCTGAGATAGCACTTTGTTGTCACTAAGGATTAAAAATATATTACATGAGAAACAGCGCCTGTCAATTTCTGAGACGGACTGATGAAAATGAGACAGGCTCCAGAAATGCATGACGAATCATCGCATTGCTCAGGCCACGCATTATTCATTCTGTCAATAAAGCGTGTGGCTATAACCAAAGAGGACCACTCTCTACATACAGGGAGGTGTATGAGAAATCATGAAGGGAAATCAGCTATGGAGGGCCAAAGCAGGGGTCCCCAACGCCCAGACCGTGGACTGCTACTGAGGCCTGTCAGGAACTGGGCCGCACAGCAGGAGGTGAGCCAAGTATCTGCAGCCGCTCCCAGCACCAGCATCACCGCCTCTGCTCCACCTCAGGTCATCCGGTTCTGCAGCCGCTCCCCAGCACCAGCATCGCCGCCTCTGCTCCACCTCAGGTCATCCGGCGTTACATTCTCATAGGAGCACCGGTCCCTGGTGCCGAAAAGGTTGGGGACCACTGGGCTAAAGGGAGGGCCTGTTTGGGGCTACATACAGTAAATGTCACGATAGGACTGAAGGCATCCAAATGTTTACCAATAGGATGAAGCATGGAATTCCCTGCGCACCCAGACACTGTGAAATCATCAACACGGACGGACGGGTTTGGGGGAAATATTATGAAGGTCACAGATTTGCGTCATCTTTTGGTAAAATCAGAGAGAAAGAGCCACGCGTGCATCGCCTCTTCAGTAATGAGTCAAGCAACCTTTGTTTTTATTTTGTTGTCGTGGAGACAGAGGCCCAGCAGTGGGAATGCTGGGGACACACCAAGGCAGTGGCCAGATGCACCGCTCAATCTGGATGTATACGAAACAAAGTCAAACCACCTTCAGGTGTAAGGGGCCCCCGCTCTCAGAATCTCGTGTTTTCTCTGAAAGCTTGCTAATTTCATACGGGGAAGGAAGCAAGATGGGTGGGGGGGACGGCAGATAGAGTCCACATGCACTTTTAAAAAAAGTTAGAACTTTCACTAACTGCATTCCTTCTGTATGATTTCAATAAGAAAATAAACAATTTCAAATGCTTAAGATATTCACCAGGGAAAAGGGAATCATTTTTTACTTAATCCGAGTTATAATTTTCCCATTAAAATCTATTCTTATCAAGTGGGGTACACAAAGAAATAACAATTATTTTTAACAGTTTCAGCTGTTCAGTTTAAGGATCGCTCTGAACACACCATTTTGTTTGAAATTCAAGCTGTTTCATTTCCTATTTAATCTTGTGAATTTCCTTCCCTTACAATACCCGGGTTGGAAAGGTGCCAAATTAGACCAGGGACAAATTTTCACCAACTTCTCTTCAGTGTTTTAGTTTTAGATTATATTAAAAACCTCATTAGGTTCCCTGAAGGAAAAGAGTGTTAACCACGAACGGAGGCAGGGGAAATGAAGGAAAAGGAGAGAGACGCTAAATCGTTAACGAGGAAAGCGCTCTTTAAACAGTTGGTCTGAGGTCCCCGTAAAAGCGAAAAGAAACTTAGTACCAAGACCAGGTTAATGACCTGAGCTTGGAGCTTAATTTTTTACCCCAAAGCTAGGAAGGGCTAGGTAGGCCTGTCAAAGTGGCATATGTCTGTACTCCGAATCCCAGATGGGATTTGGGGACGGGGTGGAGGGGTGGGAGGGGTGGGAAGGCAGAAAAATCTCTAAAGATGGCAAGTGAAGTGCTCTGCGCGCTGTCGCACATGTGGATGGGCTGAGTCGCCCGCGGGCAGGCTGGACACCAGGTGGGCACAAGCCAGGCGCTGCAAGGTTACAGGAAGTGTTGAATGAAACACAGAATTTATTAATGTATTTACATAATTTATAATTTTTAAGCACTGGTCTCATAAATATAGACTACAACTTTACATATGCTAAGCAAGTGATAATTGTTTTCCCCACCAAAATATTCGGGTTGAATAAAAAATTGACAGCATTTATACTTTCTCCACCTTTTAAAACCATTGTCAGTCTGTTTAAACATATGCAATTCAATTTATTCCAGGCAACTTCTGTACCACCGCCATCCTGATCATGAGAGCTTATTAAAAAAAGGTGCCAGTAAAGTGTTTGGTGACACAAACAGGACAGGGTCAGAATGCAAACCTAGGGCGAGCTACGGCCTGTGGCCATTAATTCGCTGTACGCTCCCTGGGCTCCTGCGGTCAATGGAAAGTGCCTTGGAGACGGGGATGAGAGCATTTCCATCGGTCCCATAAAGATTCCACTTCAGCTTCAAATACTGACTGCCATCCCTCCACGTAAGGACACCCCACCACATTTTAAATGACACAACTCCCGAAAACAGTGGTAATGGGGAACTGAAGAAATGATAATCTCCACAAGGTCTTTTTCCCCCGAGAACCGCAAAAGTGCTAATTTTCCCTTTACGAATGTTACATAAAATCCTGATTACAAAACTATTCAACAATTTAATCCTACCAGCCATACAATTATATGTTCCTTTTCAGCAAGATCAAAAGCCAGTGATGCAGTCCCTTTGCACACCACAGTCTTCACGGGACAGAAGTCCACGGACAAACACTACCGCTGCGGTCTTCAAAGAGGAAACAGAACTGGTCAATTTCTGATTTTTTTGCACGAAGGCCCCAGACCGGCTAGGTGAGCCTGGTGGCGGGCCCGGCCCTCCTGCTCGCCCTCGGGACCACCTACTTCAGCACCGAGTCTGCGGCTCTGTCAACAGCAGCTTCGCTTCGGCTCTGAGGGCTGTCGCCGGAGTTTGAAGCCCTTCCCGCCGCCCGGCGGGCTCGCGTCCGTGGATGGGATTCTTCGACCTAAACCGAAGACAGGAGGGAGGAGAGTGAGCTTTACCTTCCCAAATCGGCTCGTCCTCAGACACAACAACTTCGTAGATGCAGTGTGCCGGGTTTCATTAAAATAAAAAAAGTTTAATACACTTTAAAGTTTGGATGATTTTTGATTAACAGAGAAGTTGCCAAGCTGACAGAGTTGCTGCATGCCCTTCACCACGCCTTCCCTCATGGCCACCTCCCACACTGCCGCGGGGCGTTCGTCAAAACGAGGGCTTCGGCCCTGGTTCGTCACTACGCACTGAACCCCAGATTTTTTTTCAGATGCCATCGGTTTCTGTTCCAGGGCCCAAACGAGGATGTCACAAGGCATTTAGTGAAAAATTTTTTAATTCAAAGAATTACATGTTAAAAAATCTTGTTTTGAGCAGGTACTGTATGCCCGTGGTCAAAAAAAATTAATCATATGCCTGTCCCCGTGTCTCGCGGCAAAGGCGACCTTCCTGATAGGTGTGCAGACAAGCAGGGTCCACACCCCTCTACCTGTCCCCTCCTTAAACCCAGGCAGCCGCAGACGGTTTCACTTAAACATCCCAGGGGCCGTCCCGCGGGCGCTCGGCGCGCGGCTGCGTCCCCAGCACTGCGACGTGACCGTGGAAGGATGCGCCATCATTTATCTAACCGTTCCCGGCCGGCAGGCATTTCGCTTATTTCCAGTATTGTGATACGATTACAACGAAGGAAAAAGTACGTCCGTGAGCCTCCGAGTGCTCATGCAGGACAAACTCCTGGGGGTGGGACAGCCGGTCACGCCAGCCCACTCCTGCGGGTTTACCCGACACAGACGCCGCATTCCCAGTACCTAGCACAGCATAAGGACGGGCCATTTAAACTTTGACAGATGCTGCCAAATCGCTCTCTGAAGAGGCTGTGCCACTTTATTCTGCTACCAACGAGGTATGACAATGAACAGGTTTCGCTTTACTGCTCTGTGAAGCATAATGTCAATGTTGAGAAACCTTAAATCTTCCATCCACCTAACCCAGCTCGTCACCTCAGGGTTCCTCCTCACACGCGGCTTTCTGATGCCCTCCCACTTCCTGACTCCCCAACACCTCGGACACTAAAACCAATCAGGATGTTAGAAGCAAGCTGTCACATATGTGTTTACGCGACTTCCTCAAATCAGACCCTCGGCTCTTCTGAGGGGAGAGACCCTGTTTCTCCACCTTTATGTCTTCAGGATTATTTAGCACAGTACCTGGCACTGAGGTACTTTGGAAACATGGAACGCACACGCATTTTTGGCATGAACAAGGCTGAGGTGGAATGTGCCAGCTCTCAGGTCCTTGGTCGCCAAGACTGGAGTGGAGCTTCCAGCATGTAGAGCAGTCTGCGAATCTGCACGGGCAGTACAGGGCACGGTGGCCGCATCACTAGAAAGTGTCCCCGGTATGTCCTACCACTAATTTTCAAATGCCTACTGATGCTGTTGTGAATAAACTGCAAATTAATTTAAAAGCTTTACTGAAGCTTCTCATCATTATATGTTTCTCTATAAGTGGACACTGGAAACACAGCTGTGATAACAGATTAATCTCTGAAACGTTTTTAGAAGAAAGCAGACGAGAACATCTTTATGACTCCAGAAAAGACAGTGAATTCTTAAGCCGGAGCCAAGACAAGGATAAATGGATTCCGTCAGGATTTAAAAACTCCAGTTCATCAAAAGAGTTGATTCAAAAATGAAAGTCAAACCACACAGAAGCCCCTTTCAAAGCACGTAATCAACAATGGACTCATGTTCAAGGTGAACTATGAACTTTATATACTTTATATTAAAGTAGTATGTAAATGTACAGAAGTACCTGGAAAGGTGCTCGACTTAACTATGGGGAAATGTTTCCTGCCTACCCACCAGAGAGAGAGGGTGACTGGAGTCCTCACACACCACTGGAGTGTCACCTGGCGTAACCACTGGTTGGCAGTCACCTTGAACTCAACGCATGTGTACCCACTGACTGTTATTCTCCTGCATAGAATTACATGTAACTACAATGTGTACGTGTTGTGTACACATCGGACATGAAGTAGAATGTTCACGGAGGTACTATTTCTAATATCTCTAAAGTGGGAACCACCACCCAAGTGCCTGTTGTGAATGGGCAGCTAGACTGTGGGTCTTCTCTGTGCTGTCGATAGTGACGCCGACAGACGCAGGCGCTGTGGTGGTGAGGACGGATCACGTCACGTGACGATATGGGTGAATCTGAAGGTGTGTGTGAGATAAGGAAGCAGAAACACGAGTAAACATACTAGATTTTTAAAAATATAAAGTACGAAAACAGATAAAACGCATCTGAAGAATTAGCAGTCAAGATGGTGGCTCCTTTGGGGGGTTAAGCGGGAGGTGTCGGGTACCCCTGGGTCTTGATCTGAGTGACTACAGGAGTGTACTTAGTTTGTGCAAACTCTGAGCTTTATTTATACTTCTGATGTGAGCACTTACACCTCAATAAAAAGCAGGCGTGCCGGCACTGTGCTAATGCAATTTTATAACATCTAATAAACTATAATCTCAATTTCTCTCTCTCTAAATGTTTCTAATCTTTCTGAACATATAATTTTAATTTTTCAGTGAAAATGAGTATGCACGTGCTAATTTTTATATAGGAATTTTCATTTTTTTACATAAGAATTTCCTGTTTTCAACACCGCCAGAGTAAAGAGCACTTAGTAGTACTGATTTCAGTATGCTCACGACACCATACACTTACAGATGTTTTAGCTTGAGCTGTGAAAAATTTCTGACTGGCCTCATGCTGCATCTGGGTAATTGCTATTTACGGTCCAAGAAGACAATAAATACCATGACTTTTTAATGCTGAAAAGGGGCTGACCTAGAGGTTCTAACCCATAGTCACTGGCCATATTAGCCGGCAGATGGGCTTGGTAGGCCCGTACGGTACTCCGAAAATATTTGAATTAGTGGCCCAATCTAAACAATGGGACATATGTCATATAAAATTCAGATCTCTGGTTCTCTGAACTAAAAACATCAAAAAATGAAAATAAAACCAAAAAGAGCCACAGCCATCGGGCAGCCAGAGGCGTACACTGCAGTGTGGCCCGCAGGTGGGGCTGGGCCCACGCCCGCCAGTCGGCAGGGTCACCAGGGCTTTCTGCCGCCCCCAAGTCCCATCACTGGCGGGCACCGGAGCTCGTGCCTGCGCCTCTCCACAACGCTCGCGCCGTCCCAGCCTTGGCACCCTCGACTCTCACCCAGATGGGCCCTAGCGAGCACACCGCCCGCGCCCGACGCGTTCTCCTGGGTTCCGTCTGGGGTTTGGTGCGCTCCGTTCCTATGAGTCCCAGGCCTCCGCACGGCCAGCTCTGCCGGGTCTCAGCTCTGACGCTACCTCCTAGCAGAGGCCTCTACCCTGACCACCTGCAGACCCTCTCTCACGCCCCTCTGCTGTTCTCTTCCTATCTCTGCTAGTCATCTGAAGGGACCTCATTGATCTCGAGCCCACTGTCGGTCTCGTGCAGTGGAATCAGCTCTGGGAGAGCAGGGCCGCGTCTCCCCTGGGCCTGGAACGGTTCTCAGTACACATTTTGATAAATATGAATGAAATGAATAAACACGATACCATCTGTAAGGATCCCAAAGGTATCAGCGGCCCCTCTCCCATCCAGGGTCACTGTATTAATTGCTGGGCAGGGAAGGAGGATGGGTGGGAAATCGGGTCTCACCTTTTACTCGCCTAGTGTTAATAATATTGGAGGGTTTTCTACAGTGCAATTTGAAATGCATTTAATTTCTCCTTATTTATTTTGTTCACTTTCAATGACTTTGGACGACTAATTGAAACACATATGCAGAGTGGAAAGGAGAGACAACAGCTTCCAGGAGCACGGGGCCTGTGCGTCATTTATTTAGCAATGACATTCTTAATAGAGAGGCCGTGATCATCAGGTGGCAGGCAGCTCTCCAGCAATTACGACCGGACATGAAAATTGCTGTCACTTACGCTCTCAAATCTCGGTCTGGTGAGAACAGTATCGGAGACCAGGCTTCTCCACGTACAGGAGATAATTCTCTACCCAGCAAGATAATTGTTTTAAGTTGCTCTGCACAGAGGAAACCCAGAAGGCACAGAGATACTCACTAATTTCTATAAAGAGTTCATTTATGTTTATCGCATTTTTTGCGCTGGTCTCTACAAAAACTGCATGGATGGAGTCGGCGTAGTCCTTAGCATCTCTCTCCATGACTTCTCTGGAAGGCAACAATCGCAAATCAGAAATTCTACCCGTCACGAGCTTAATGTTATCCTTATCCCCCACCTGCGCAGTAATTCATCAGAGCCACGGTGACAAAGGGGGTCACGAATGGCTGGAGAAGCCCTGACGCGTGGTCCTTAGCGTCCACGGGTGAGCAGAAGGGACTGTGCTGTGGGCTGTGTGTCCAGTGGGACGATCAGGGGGGAGAGCAGGGTTTCTTTTGCTCTAAAACTCGAGCCTTTGCTTTAAGAATTATGAAAGTGGCCCAAAGAAATTGCCAGTAAATATGCTTTTCTAAAAATATGCTTTCAATGCAAGTGTCCTGCGTCATGGGAGCTGGGGCTACGCTAATCTCAGATAACGTCAAGTTCAATACGACTGACACGCCTGTCTGACACGTCATCTCCTCAGCTCCAAATGCCTGAATTCTTTACTTTGAAACATCAGGACTCCGAGCACATGATGGAAAGAAATTTTTCAGTGTCAGAGATAAAATGAAAGCAAGATTCTTATATTGGATATTGCTTGGTGAGAAAAGGGACACGTAATCAGCTCTGTCACCTCCTGGTCTCATAACTTACCTCACATCGATAAGATCACACTTATTTCCTGCGATGGCAACTACAATATTAGGGGGGCCGTGCTGCCGAAGCTCTTTTACCCAGTTCTTTAATGTCGAAAATGTCTCCTGTAACACAAGAGAGGAAAGCCACTGGAGAGCTAAGCGGCCGAGCGCGCCTGCAAACAGCCTCGAGGACGCGGCCCGTTAGTCTTACTTCTTTCGTGATGTCGTAAACGATGATGGCCGCGGCCGAGCCTCGGTAGTACATCGGCGCTAAGGCGCGGAACTGCAGAGAAGGCGGAAAGAAACAACGAAATTGGGAAAACTGGTTAAATGTGTCTTTTACTAGACTGTGAGGCCCATTATCCCTGCACAAAGGTAATCTTTCTCTCAAGCCAAAGAACATGACGTGATGCTTCAGAGCAAGCGAACCAGTGATGACCAAAGGCAACGACTTTTAATGTGACACAGAAATGCCTCTCAGAAGATAGTTCAGAACACAGTTTTAGAAGAATTAAATATGGTGCTATAAACAATTGCTGCAGCTAGAAAGGCTTTTTAATTGAACTCGGTGTTATAATTCCCCCATTCATTCGCGCAGGAGGCCTTTAAACTTTGGCTGCCCAAACTACCAAGCAGATAAAAATCGTGCTATGACTCGTTCTCTAGCCAAGGGGCTGTGTCTGAGTGTCGTAGGGATAACCCTGTGACCTGGATGCTGAGTGTGCGACAGAAATGCGTCCGCGTTCACACGAACCACTTGGGTGAGTCTGTAACTTGCTCTGTACTATCTGCATGCAGGTGCCAAGTCCCCAGTGCGGGTCCGCACCCCATGTCACTGACATGAATTTAACCGAGTGCTCGGCTCCTTCCACCCGTGCCCCTCTCCCACCCGCGCCTGAGACACACAACGAGAAGGAAAGGCAGGAAAGGCAGAGGAGCAACGATTTCCACAGCAAGGCTGATTTAGGGCCTTCGTCCTGCTGAGTGCCAGATGGAAAACACGACGCGCCTGCCCCATGCACCCTTCACCTTCTCCTCGGGGCAGACGTACGTGCTGCTGTGGACACCTCATTCGGAATTTTACCTGTACCTGCTGACCTTTGTCTTACACCCCAGCTGTGAAATCTGACCCCCGCACATGATGTGACTGCACTGTGCTCACACCCTGCTCTCTGTCCTGGTGGCTAACCCCCCAACGCGGGCAGGAACTGTGGCCAGAGGTGAACATCCGGTGCCCGGTACGATTTACACAAACACGGGCTGCAGCATCTCATCCAAACAGCTTCACCTTTGGCTTTTAAATTTCGTTAACCTGAGCGTAACGGAAGCAGGTGGGATTGTGACTGGGGAAGACAATCATGTGGACCTGGTTAGCGAGAACTGGTGAATAAATGAGTAAGAACTGTTGAAGGAGGAGCTGATGCCTCACTAAAGCCAGACTCAGATGTGCACACCTATAAAGTTTTACTGGTCCTTGGGAGAAAGGCCCTGCCTCCGGGGTGAAAGCCCAGTGACTTGCAATCAAATGCAGTGTGTTACAGGGAAAGGGCCCAGTGACTTGCAATCAAATGCAGTGTGTTACAGAGAAAGCAAAGCAAAGCAAAACGCACGTAAGCCAGAAAGCAAAGCAAAGCAAAGCAAAGCAAAGCAAAACGCACGTAAGCCGGAAAGTGCTGCGCAAGAGAACCCGCATCCGGCGTGGACGGGCCTGGCCGGACTCCGCGGGCGAGGGTGACAGGAGCGCCCAGGCAGAACAAAGCTTCCGCGATTACCTTCCGTGTGTGACGTTATCATACTGGCAACATCATTTACACATATTTTTTTGGAACAGTAAAATTCATATAAAGTGCAAAGATCTTGAGTTTGATAAAAGATCTTACGTTTCGATAAACTGACATGTTTATATATACATCCATGTATACAGCATCCCGCCAAGACATAAAACACTTCTATCAATACAGGAAGTTCCCGAATGCTGCTCCTCACGCCCCTTCTCCGACCTCGATAATAATTGTCTTCAAGTCACTTTTGTGGATGTTGACATAACCGCAATGGTTTTCTTTTGCTGTGACTTGCACAGGACGGCCTTCTCCAGTCTCGTTCTTTCGAGCCACCTGTTTCTATCACAGGGATCTCTCCTCACCAGCACGGGCTCCAGAGTTCGGATCCCATCCGACAACCTCTGCCTCTTACGCTGCATGTCCCACTGCTCTGCGCGCCACGCGTTTACTGATACGTCTGGTCTGACCGATATCATGTTTGCCATTTGCTTCATGTTTCTTCTGTTAAAAAAACCCTCTGTTCTTCCTGTAATCCTCTCTTTTTTCTGAATATTTTTAGTGTTTAATTTTAATAGATTTGTTCTTTGGCTTTTTAGCTATACCTTCTTGTATTACTTTTTCAAGTGGCTGCTTCTGTAACTATGATACACACTTCCCCCCAGTCTACTCAGAGTCTGTAACCCACCACCTTGGGTAAAGCATCAGAATGTCGTGAAAGACTAATTCTTTTTATCCCACTTCTTATGTGCTACTGTTGTCCAATATTTTAAATCTACATACACTATAAACTATGCAATCCAAATTACACAAAATAAGTTATAATTTTTGCATTGAATAGCCAGTAGTCTTTTAAACAAGTTGAGAAGAAAAAAAGACAGATTTTTATGTTCACCATTTCCAGTGGTTACTATTCTCCCTGTGGATCTGAGCTACCATCCGGTGTCATCCCCTTCAGCCTGAAAAACCTTCTGGGGCCGCTGCTGCTGAATCCTGCGAGCTTTTATTTTTCTCAAAATGCCATTTCCTTGACTCCATATTTGAAGGGTAATTTTGGCAGGCTGCCCTTTTCTGCTGTGGTCTTCTGGCCTCCGCTGCTCTGTGGGGGGTCAGCACCCCTCCCACTGCTGCTCCCCTGCACACGGGTGTCATCTCTGCCGCTTTCAAGACTTTTCTCTTTCACTCTGGTTTTCTGCAGTTTGACTGTGACAGACCTAGATATGGTTTTCTTTTTGCTTATGGGTTTGCTGAACTTCTCGGATCTGTGAGTGGATCCGTTTCACCAGATTTAGGAAATTTTCAGCCATTATTTCTAGAAATATGTTTCTGTCCCCCGGCCTCTTCTCTTCATACCTCCTGGGTCTCCAGTTACACAAAGGCTAGACTGCTTGAATTTGTCACTATGTAATGGAGACTTATTTTCTACTCTTTCTGTCTTCTGATTGGTTCATTTTGGTCACCCATCCAGTGGATTTTCACTTTAGACATTACGGTTTTCAGCTTTGGCATTTCTATTTGCTCTGAAGTTTCCGTGGGAGCGTGAGATGTTTACCAACCCCTTTAACAGGCAAGACTGGACTCCAGCTCCAGACTCTTCCTGTGACGGGCGGCAGCCAGCCCTTGCTCGGTCCTGTGGACCGCTGGCTGTTGTTTTCTGTCGCATTCCTTAGTGTCTACCTTGCACAGTCACAATTTGGGTGGCAGGCAAAGACGTGAGGGGATTTACAAGCATATTTCAGAGCTTCCCTCCTGGTTGGATCCACCTTTTCTGGGATCGGCCTATTTTTTCAGGTGCTCTAACTGCCTTAGACATCCTCAACTGCCGCAAGCCACCAAGATGGCTTTCTGCTTGAGTCTTGACTGCCCTGTGCCACGTGGACTGGGGAGGGCCCTCTAGGGAAAACTACAAAAATGCCAGTCTCACCCAAGGCAGTTCCCATCAGTCTGCCTATACTTGATCGCTTAGCAGAGCCTTCAGACAGTTTTCAATGCGTTGTCCAGAGTTTATACATAATTTTTGTTTGTGGAAAGGTGAGTCCATTATAAGCCACTCTGTCATTACCGACACTGAAACTTTCTGTGTCCTTTAGTGTAAAGAAGGTGGCAGCTTAAAAAGAAACTCAAAGGATGTCAGCATATCTCTGCTCCAAATCTGGCTCTAGATCAGTGATCTTCAAACTTTTTCTCGAAAGCCTAAAATAAATATTTTAGGCTTTGTAGTTCATTTGATCTTTGTCCCAACTATGTAGCTCCGCTACTGAAAAGTGAAAGCAGTTGTAGATAATACGCAAACCAACAAGTGTGGTGGTTTTGTTCCAATAAAACTTAATTTACAAAAACAGCCAGCAGGCTGGATTTGGCCACAGGCCATGGTGTCGACCTTAGCCCTCGATGACACTAAGCTACTACACTTGTTCCTGATTTTAAACACAAGAACAACTCCTCACACGACTACTGTGACAAGACATGAATCTATGCCTCCCTGGTGCTCTCAGCCTTGGAAACCGTCATGTCATCAGGAGAAACCACATTAAGATTCAGGACCACAAATCTCTAAGGGTTGGATGCAGTGTCTACTCGACTTTGGTTAAGCAGCTGTCTTTTATATGACCACAGACGAGTATTCGAAATGTCGTTGCCACGTCTACGGCGTATTTATGGCATGTATTTGTGGTGCTTATTTGTGCATGGTCCCTGTACTATTGTAGGAATCTTTTTTAGTGAAGGATGATTGGTGGAAAAATGTCACTTAAAATTTAATTCATTAAAGAGAGAGAATAGGGACGAAAAGGCCTGACAAAGGCTATATCTTCAGAAAATAAATTTAAAATTATGCAAACGACTTTCATTTTGTCTGGTATTTGAAAAAACTCAGGTTTGTTATTGCAACCAGGAGCTAGTTTCCTGAATGCTACTGACTCCAAGCTGCCTGGTGACCTGACTGCGATTCTTCTGATGAACTCTATGCTCGCCCAATATGCTCTTTCTTACTTCATTTCGGACTCACCCAGCCCTACATGAAAAGGGTGGTTTTACAGAAACATCTGAGGGCTCCACCGGTCCCCTTAGGCCTCTCGACCCGAGACACAAATCACCATTCTCTGAAGCACTTATGTCATCATCCCAGTCGCCACTTTTCTCTTCATTTCACAAGGTCCCTCAGCATTGATGGCTTTGCCTGACGTCTGTGAAGTTCTCCAAAACCACTTTCACTGACTTAATGAAATCGCTCTGCAATTAACTGCAACTGGACCATCAGACAAAGAACCCATGTTGTCAAAATAACATACAGTAATAGGCACAAGCAGGGGTCAAAACGGAGAGGCTGTTTGGTCAGTTCATCAAAAAGGGCTTTCATTTTTTTGATGACTTTTGGTTCCATGATGAATCTCATTACTATAGAGAATAGGAGAGTAAATATGCAAGTATTAGAAATTTATAATTTGAGGCATGCAATACTCACGGGAGAGCAGGCAGAGGCTCTATCCTTTTGTGTGCCAAAGCACGGCTGGCAATGAGTTGATATAAATCCACTGGCATCAATATCGTGTGCCAGGGGCTGAGAGCACAGATGCAAGACAGTCCCTGCCCACAAGGAGCTCACAGTCTAACAGACGATAAACAAGCAAGGAAACGGTGACACGCTTGTGGATGCGGGCGGGCAAAGACTGGCACAAGGAGCTCACAGTCTAACAGACGATAAACAAGGAAACGGTGACGCGCTCGTGGATGCGGGCGGGCAAAGACTGCTCAGGATACGAGGAACAAGCCCAAGGGTGTACTTGCTGGTTGGTCCGACTGACACTTGAGCATCCACTCCAGGTCAGGCACCGTGCGGGGCATCGGGAAAACAGCCGCGAACGAGACACCGTGGCTCCGGCCCTCAAATTTTACCGTCTGTGGTGAGAGCTGCCAATAAGGGCAGGTGGACAGATATTCCACAGCGACTTGTACTGAGGGTCCCGAGGGAAATGAGTGCGAGGCAGTGACGGGAAATGAACTAGGCCCCGCCTCGGGATGCGGTCAGGGCAGACTCTAAGGGCGCACCGTTTAACCCAAGGCCAAAAGCTGGTAAGGAGCCAGCCGGCCACGCACGCAGGAGAGGGAAGAGAAAGTTCCGGCAGAAGAAAGTGTCTGTGAAGGCCTGGTGGGCCGAGTTTCAGGACCGGGATGGCAGCCACGGGCTGGGACTCAGCGGGAGGGACAAGGGCCAGCAGGGCGCCGAGGAGAGAAGGCAGAGCAGGCCGCACAGGGCTTTGGGGGCCTCTGCCCAGCGTCCGGCTGTCAGGGGGGCGGTGGGGAGCCACCGGCAGGCATGAAGCAGGAGGATAACAGGGTCTGGGCTACGTCTTCAGGTCCTGCTGGGTCCTGCAGGAGGGGGGCGTATGGTGGCGGGCGGGGAAGAGTGAAAGTGGGAGACCAAAGGCTGAGGGGACACGTGGGCGGGAGGTAAAGGTGGCAGAAGGCAGAGTGTGGCAGTGGAGGTGGAGGGAGGAGCCAGAGGCGCCTGGGTCTGAGCGGTGCCGGCACTTACCTGAGAATGGCAGGGAGGGCAGGGGTGCACCCTGAGGTGACATCAGAGGGCGTTTTCTAGGCTAACGGTGGGAGGGGCCGTCCACGCAGAGGGGACGCCAGCGCCGGGCACGAGGGCATGCACTCGCACGGCGCACCTGACAATTGTGTGCGGCCCGGTGCAAGGACAAGTGGCGGGAGGGGGAGCGCACGGGGGTCCAGCCGAGGCTGCCACAGTCAGGGCCGTGAAGGCTTGGCCCGGGACAAACTGGCCGTCACGACAAGCTCGCAGACGTGTCCTGGATGATGTGCATAGCATCTCAAACCATTTGTGATGAGCTGTTAGCTGTTTAGCTTCTCTCGAGCACAGTGTCTGGAGACCTTGGTATGTGCTCCTGCTGGGCAACAGCTGGCAGGGGGGAGTGCCAGCAGCTGGTGCCCTTCTCCGGGCTCCCCAGCACGGGGGCTGCCGGTCAGTCCTCTGGAGCCCTGCCTGCTGGCCTCACTTACATCCCCTGGGCAAGCCCCTGGCTAAGCCCCTGGCTAAGAGATCGCGCTTTGGGTAGGGGTGAGGCAGACGTGCATCTCAGAGCAAGTACTCCTGGTTCAGAGTCAATTAGAAGTAAGGAGGAGAGGAGGCAGGCAAAGCAGCTAATTACAAAACTTAACAGAATTTTACCATTATGGTAGTAGTAAGGGACAGGCATAAACCCTTGTTCTTCTTTCTTTATAGTCTAGAAAAAATAGATGTTATACATCACTGTGTATACGGGCACAGGCTCTGATTCAAAGGATGATGGAGTCTATATCACAGCATGATTCTTTATGATGAGGGTTTGCTGTATCATCAAATACAAGGGAGGGGGAAACTGGAACTTGGCATTCGCTGAAAGGGTACGTGTATGGCTAGCACGAAGAGCCACATGAGTTCTTGGCTCACTGGGCAGACACCAGAGCAGTGTCTATGGATACGTTCGCGAAGGCAGTGTGGGAAGCACCCCATCCGCAGGATGGAAGAGTGATGGTTAAAGATCTAGCCGTCCCAAATGTTCTATTCTGGATGCACAGCACAAAGTATGAGGAGCGAGGGATGGGAGACAGCGCACGTACCTTAGATGAGTAATTGGAAACAGGGTATGACATCCAGCATTAAAAAGAACCCCAAACCTAAAACTCAACAAACGGCAAACTTAAGACATTAAATCTGTACAAATGTGTGGTGTCTACATCTAGGCCGACAGCAGCGGCGTGCTTTGTTTTCCTCCATTTGTCTGTGACGATTGTTGTCGGATTTTATACCATACGCAGCATCCATGCTGCCTTAGATAAGACTATGATGACAGACTATTTCTCCTGATTACTGCTGGTACACTTTTAAGAGCTTAAGATAGCACCGTGCATCCATCAGATGTTTTGTTTTGATAGTGCTGTTTGAAAACAAAATTAAACAGCAGCTGAATAATGGGTGGCTGCCAGACACACCTCAAGGAGGAGATCACACGTTGTCGGGCCCACCGGAGGGCAAACGAGGCAGCAGGCTGGCGTCTGTTTGTTCCCTCCCACCTCCTCACTCCTGCCTGGTCTGGGTGGGCTTTGCCAAATCCCACTCTGCACTGTGATGCCGCAGCCCAGCCCCCAGCCTGGTTCGGGCCCTCCCTTAAGCAGATAACCACCTTGGACAATTTTATCATCAGGCATTTACTAAGTACCTATTGCCAGGCACTGCGTTAGCTCATCCATTTCACTTATATCGCAAACTTCATGTGCTGTAAAGTTCCCTCTTTAGCTTTCAAAAGGCGGCTATGAATGAGATGTGCGTAACGCTCCCTTTTTACTACTAATTCTTGTATACCTTTGCTAGAGGATGGAGCCCCAAATCACACACAGTGTTCTCTCGGAGCAGGATTTCTTCAGGCCTGTTAGTTAGCATTTATTTTAAGACACTAAAAAGTCTAAAAATGCCCTCGGTGCCCATTGCCACTTTCTCCATCAGTGGACTCTGTGGCTCTAGCTGCAAAGAAAAAGGCTGGTCTACGCGAATGGAGACGAATGCGTCTCCGGCGCACAGAAGAGAGTAACGTGACGTGACAGGGACATTGACAGTTCAGTTGGAGCTTTAACTTGGGCCTCAGGAAAACACATAGTAAATTAAAGAGTGACTTACTCGTTCTTGTCCAGCTGTATCCCAGATTAGGAATTTGTGTAGCTCATTTTGGTACTGGACAGTCTTGGTCATAAAAGATGCCCTACAAAGAGAGACCTAAATGATCAGAACACAATTATTTAAAGCACGCTGCCAGCCCCAGTTGGAAATATCACTCAGGCTTAATGGTCAAACTCCCGCTCCACACTACACCCTAACTGTGGTCCTCTCTGGAGTTTCTAAGAGATGCTCAGATACTGGCTACATAGTCTGTGTCAAAATTCAGCATTAGGCACACCTGCCCAACACAGGGAAGGCAGGGTTCTTTGGCTTGTGATTGCCCAAGCTCCATACTGAAAGAACCAAGAGATATTTGGTAGTCCAGATATCACCCCCACCTTGTAAAATATAGAAGTTGTTATTTTAAAAGACGGTATCATGGGAAAACTTTCTAAAAAAACCTGTGTGTCCAGAAAACGAGTGCACCAGTAAAAAAATTTTAGGGCATCTGTGTTTGTCCTCTCCCACTCCCATACCATGAACAGCCAAGTAACAGCTGGGGTAACACTTGGGCTAATAAAATTAAGATGCCAAACAAGGAGCATCTTTTATTTCCTAAATCCTGGAGAAATAACACCCTGCTGACCACCTCTCTGTTTTGTAACAAAATGGCCCCTAGGCTGACGTGACGGGCCACGCAGGGTACCAGGGCCTGACCAGCCCTCGATGGAAACGGGATGACGGTGTGCAGGCCACATCACACTGAGGGGCCACTCTGCCCAGAGGCCTTTGAAGACACATGTTCCTATTAATTTTGGAGTCTCACACTTTTTGGAGAATCTCTGAGGAGCTATGGTGGCCCGAGCACTTGCCTGGTCACCCTAGGGGCTCCTGGACACAGGTTCAGAAGCCCTGCGCTGGGGCTGGGCTTGGCCCCAATACTATCTCCTGCGGCCCGCCTCACCCAGAGGGCCCCCTCCTCGGAAGTCCTGTGCCTCCCAGTGTCCTCAACGTATCGAAGAACCCGGAGATGATTACGTCTTCCCTTCTACTGGACAGGCCTTCTGGGGCCAAGGGCCAAGCTGTGCTCTCAGAACCACACCCTGATCACCCTAATCAGGACAGTGAGCTCAATAGCGTGACATTTTCAAATATGCTGACTGCCTTAAATATTTTGAGATATATAAACTTCAAGAAAATGCAAGTTGAAATCGATGGAATGACTCTCTAAAGAATCACTGAGGTTTCTAGTCGAGATGGCAGAGAGAGAGAGAGAGAGAGAGAGAGAGAGAGAGAGATATTGATTGATTCAATAGTAAACATACTTCTTACTGTGGATTTGAAAACAAAACACAAAAATAAAAGTTAAATTTGAAAACAAAAAAAGAATTACTGAGTTTAGCTAAGCATCAGAATCTTTAGATTTATAAACTTAAACTCTGCTACAATCCAGTTCCTGGCAATATTTATATAAATTTACGGTTTAGTAAGCAGCCTCCAAAATAGTGACTACGATGAGGAAGGAGAAATGAGTTAGGAAGCAAGATCACATTTTCGATAGGCACTATTTACTGGATATTTATTCGCTGGAAATTTACCCCTTGGTGTCCTTAGTAAAGTGCTTTACGCATAGAAGGTGCTCAGTAAATGGTTATTGTATCAAGGACTTTTGGCAACTCACTGTGATTAAATCAGGATGTGCAGCACGATTTCTCACTTAGGAGAGATCTAAGCATTCAAACAGCCCTGTTTATTGTGAAGATTAAGCGATATGATATATGGGAGAGTGCTTTGTAAATTGCAAAGCACTATACCTATACGAGGTATTATTATTATTATTTAAAGGCAGCTCCAGGAAATGTTTTAGTTTAGACTTTACAATTAATCCTAAAAGCCTGCAAGTCAACTCTCCATCAATTATGGTCGTGGTGTTCCACTTAAGAGTGACAACAGGCATCCGATGGAGGCCTATTAACAGAGCCAGTGCATCCGACACATCCATTTCGGCTGCTCAAGGAAGAGAAGAAATATACTTGGAGTAGGCAGAAAGCTGAGAAAGGTGTATGTAACAATTAAAAGGAAACGTTTCATTATAGGATCAGAACTCACCGAAGTTCAGCCTACCTGCCAACCGTTTCCCCTTCAGTGAAAGCACAGACAGATTACTCAGGAGCAAGACAAAGGGCCACGGTAATGTGATGAAAGTCTCTGAAAGGATTAGACCCAACTTCCAGGCCCTGACCCCAGACCGTCCTTCCAGCTTTCCCCTGTCCTCACGCTCCACCAAGGTCGGCGTGTGCCCAGAGCTCTCCACTTGCGTCCCCCGGGTCTGGGTCTGCCGGCTTCCTGTCCTTTCACGCCAGCATCGCTCGCCCGCACTGCTAGTTCTTTGAGAATCTCGCCTGTCCTTCTGTCTCAACCACCCAGAAAAGCCCCAAGCAGCCTCCCCACCTGCTTCCTCTGCCCAGTGGAGGGGTGGCTGCCTTGCTGGAGGAGTCACAAGGCTACGTGGGCCAGAGTGAAGGCTAGCCTATGTCGCTGAGCCTGCCTCACAGGCCCCTCAGCCCACACGACCATGACCCCACACGCTATGGCTCCTGTCCAGGCCGCTGCCACTCACCGCTACCCTCCTTTCTGAGGCAACGGCTTGTGTAGCCTTCTCAGAGGAAAAGAAGAGAGTGCGAGCCCCAAGTCTCCCGGCGCGGAACCCAGCGAACCCTCCCACTCGTAAAATAAATTCTCATTCGCGCTGGCTGTGATGTCCACTTCTCTGACTGGAGTTGAGTCAGAGATGTCTTGTCTTCCTTCGCTCACCATGGACACCCTGGGTCACGATTCCAGCCCACGCGGCCTGGGCCGCAGCAGCCAGAAACTGGTCATCTGTTCCCAGCTCTTTCTGACCGTCCCTCCCCTTGAACGCTCTCCCACGGGCTCTCCCGCGCTGAGATGCCGCCCACTCTCCAGGTCTGAGGTCAGCTGCCGAAGGTCACAGAAAGCTGTGTGCTCCACCCATACAGGTGGCTTCCTGCCCCAGCCTCTCCCTGCCCCCCCGACACCACCCCGTTTCTTCTTCAGGGCGCCTACCGTGTCTGCACAACGCCAGATTAGCTTTTTTTTTTTTTTTAATTTACCTGTTCCTAGTCTCACGCACCCTTGCGAAATGTCGAGCTCCATGAGGGTAGGGACCCGCTGGAACGGGGGTGTCCTCCTCACCGCCCTATGCTGTGCTCTCTTACAGTTCTGACATGTTCATCCTGTTGCCACAACATTTCGCTTTCTTCACTCCAGTGGTTCCAGGACGCCTTGGCCGAGCAGTTCCCGAAGTACAAGGTGAGACATGCTACTGAAGCGCATGGGGCCCTGGGTTAGAGGTGACCCTGGCTCTCTCACTGCAGCCAGGCGTGTGGCCCTGGAAGGTGAGGGATGTGGTTCAACTGGCACAAGGCTGACTCTGCCCAGGGAAGTCCCTCCTGCCTGCTCAGCCACCAGCCCTAACCCCTGCGCCAGGCGCGTCCAGGAGCTGTACGGAACAGTCGGCATGGCCCTCCACCCCTCAGACTTCGGGCTTCCAAGGAAAAAGCCACGGTACTTCATGGGCTCTCTCTGCTGCTGACTAGTGTGGAATCGGGTGTCCCTCCCCACCTGTGGGTCTCAGCTCAGGTGGCGAAGGTGAGATGATCACAGCTCCCTCACCTCTCCTCTCCTGAGCCCTACCAAGGTCTCCGTGGGTATGTGCTGATTTTTGAAAGTCTGAAATCCTGGCCCATCACACCTGTAAGAAACACTTCCTTTTCCTCAGCAGTTGGACTTGGTTTGTCTACATAGTGGCAACACCTGGACACAAGGTCACACACGAGATGTCTCACCCAACCGGTCCCTAGGGAGCTTTGGGCTGGCCTGGGGCAGGCGGACTCCTTCCTCACTCACTTGCATGAATTCTGTCCCATGGCTTCACGTTGTCATCTGTTGAGAACAACTTTTCTAAATGTTACTTAGGCTTAATTATACAATCTAATTATACACGCCGTCTCACACACGACATGGAAACAGGGCTTATTTCCACTCCACCCCCACGAGAGTCCCCACTTCCCCAAGTTCTCAGAGCATGATGTCTGCCTCCCATAGACTTGACACTGGTCTGCAATGATAGTCTATGTCCTTTGTCACTCGCATCCAATTTCGTAGAGCTGTCTGGTTCTTCGTTTCATATTTAATCTACACTTGAACCTCAAGCCCTGAAATAAATCCAGAAATCGGACCCTCGTCTTTGCAGGGGACTCCTACAATTCTCCCCTCCCACGGCCACTGGGATGCTAAGGTCACTCCTTCGACGTTCGCGTTAAATGGTGTGGAGGGTCTCATCGCTTCAGTATCTGGCTTTTTGAAAAACCAGCGATGGTTTCCTGCCACCCAAATGACACATTTTTATTTTCTAGCCTGCCATTTACTTGTCTGATGACCTTATTTTTCACTACTAAACTATCTCTCTTCCCTCTGCCTAGGTAGATCTTATTACCTCTTTAATCTAAAATCCCCACTAGCATTATTTCCTAAAGCTAGAACGCCTTTCATACACTTCTCCATTTTTCATGACATTCTAAAAATATGACTTTTATGCACAGCAAGTAGCCATGATCTTTGGTCAGAGTACGTGTTCCCAATGAAAAAACTTGCCACAAGATGTTTTAAAGTTTCTTTTCTTTCAGTGCAGGGGACTTGTTCGGCGGTCTGAGCACAAGTGTGCCCTGCCACCATGTTCCAGTACCTCTCCAGACTGCAAGCCCTTTCCCTGGGATGGCACATGAGATGCTGTCGTCTCCGTAACGACATATGGTGCCTTTTACGGATGACCAACTCAGCACGTTTAAAAATTAACGAAGGACCATAAACAGCTCTAAGTATCACTCAAACGATGCTTGGATCTCCAGATTACATATGCGGATAGGAACACCACTGACTATACCAAGTCTGAGACGTGAAATGACCAAAAGTACATGGAATCTAGCAGTTCCGCTAATGGACACACCCATGGGCCGCCAGGAGTTTGGGATGGACGAAGAATCTGTCAGGGGCTCAGTGAGAATTGGCTGAATGTAGGGCGCG